GCTCTTCCCACTTCCACTGCAAGCGCCGACGGGATGCCAGCATCCGGAGCATCCGGTCATGCTCAGCCTCCCGGTTCTTGTCCACACCGACGTAGTTCAGAGTCAGAGTTGAAAGCCAAAACACACAACGTAGTCCAAAGCCAAGGGTCCGGAGAACAAGGTTCAAGATTGTCAGGAGCGTGGGTGCAAGTCAGAGTTTTGACTTGTTGCTTCCACGGATTTTCCTACGTCTGTGAGCTGTTTATACAGTGGGGTCTCGACTTACGGATGGTTCTATATACAAACTTTGTGGAAACATCGCTAAACGGAACGGAAAAGCCCTATGGAGGATAAACTCACTGTTCAGCGACCTTTCTCTATAGCGCCGCCATTTTTGCACCCTCGGTAAGTGAAAATGGTTGTGGCGGCTATTTTGGGCGCGTGGCGGCCATTTTGGAACCGCTGATCAGCTGTTTAAAAAAACATTGCAACGCTTACCGATCGTCGCAGTGCAATGTTTTACCCACTAAAAACAGATCGCTGTGCCGATTCATCGTTAAACGTTGTGATCGTTAAGCGAGATACCACTGTAGTTTCTATGGACGGAAAACAGCAGATACGGATTAAATGGCTTTCAATGCATTCCTATGGGAAATGCAGATTCGACCTATGAATTTTTTGACCTACGAACCGCCTTCCAATACAGATTACGTTCGTAAGTCGAGACCTCACTGTATAGTAAAACAGTCCCTTGAACTGCTGGAAGCCTTTTCATCCTGTCAGAACTCAGGGCTAGTCGATCGGATGTTTCTGCGGGCAGCCTTCAAGCGACCCTCTGATCTTTTTGTCATAAGTCTTCCCCGAAGCCTTGCCCTCAGCTTGTCTACTGGGGGAGGAGAATCTGGAGGTGATTCAGGTGTTTGTATTTCTAATTGCTCAGCATTCTCCTCAGTTACAGTTAACTCTTTGGGTTCTGGATCTATGGCTACACTCATGAAAGGCCAGGAGGCCAGTAGTGGAGCACCCGGCCATGCTCACCGTTCCAGCTCTTAGCAACCCCTTTTGCTGCCACTTCCGCCGGGAGCCCAGCAGCCGGAGCACCCAGCCATGTTCAGCCATCTGGCCCTTGGCCACTCCTGCTACTGCCGCCAGGAGTCCAGCAGCTGGAGCACACAGCCATGCTCAGCCTCCCGGCTATTGGGCACCCCTGTTGCCGCCAGCAACGGGAGGCCATCAGCTGGAGTACCTGGACTGCTCAGCCTCCCGGCTCTCAGGGAACCCTGTTGTTGTCACCGCCACCAGGAGGCCAGCAGCTGGAGCACCCGGTCATGTTCAGCTTCCCAGCTCTTGGCTACATCCGCCGACTCCAGTGGGAGGCCAGCATTTGGAGCACCTGACCTTGCTCAGCCTCCCCAATCTTGGCAATCCCCTTTGCTGCCAATGCCGCTGAGAGGCCAGCATCCATAGCACCCGGCCATGCTAAGCCTCCCAGCTCTTAACCACGTCCGGCGCCGGCGCCACCGGGAAGCCAGGTGCTCCGGATTCTGGCCTCCTGGCGGTGCTGATGGCGGAAGCATCTGTCCATGCTCAGCCTCCCTGCTCTTGGCCACTCTCGCGTGGAGGCGGCGGGTGTAGCCAAGGGCCGGGAGGCCAGCATCCGGACCACCCGGCTGTGCTGAGTCTTCTTGGTTTTGGCTACTCCTGCCTCCGCCACCGCGAGGCCAGCATCCCGAGCACCCGGCCATGCTGAGCCTCCCCGGCTCTTGGCCACTTCTGCCACCGGGAGGCCAGCAGCCGGAGCACCCAGCCATGCTGAGCCTCCCCGGCTCTTGGCCACTTCTGCCACCAGGAGGCCAGCAGCTGGAGCACCCGGTCATGTTCAGCTTCCCAGCTCTTGGCTACACCCGCCGACTCCAGTGGGAGGCCAGCATTTGGAGCACCTGACCTTGCTCAGCCTCCCCAATCTTGGCAATCCCCTTTGCTGCCAATGCCGCTGAGAGGCCAGCATCCATAGCACCCGGCCATGCTAAGCCTCCCAGCTCTTAACCACGTCCGGCGCCGGCGCCACCGGGAAGCCAGGTGCTCCGGATTCTGGCCTCCTGGCGGTGCTGATGGCGGAAGCATCTGTCCATGCTCAGCCTCCCTGCTCTTGGCCACTCTCGCCACTGGCACTGCTGCTTTGTATGTTTTGACATATAAAGCCCTAAACTGCTTGAGCCTCCCGGTTCTTGGCCACTTCTGCCACCAGGAGGCCAGCCGCCAGAGCATCCGCCCATGCTCAGCCTCCCAGCTCTTGCTCATCCCTGCCACCACCGGTAGGAGGCCAGCAGCTGGAGCACCCGGTCATGCTCAGCCTCCCTGCTCTTGGCAACCCCAATCGCTGCCACTACCAGCATCCAGAGCACCCACCCATGGTCAGCCTCCCGCCTCTTGGTCACTCCCACCTATTCCGCGGGGAGGACAGTAGCCGGAGCACCTGTCCATGCTCAGTCTCCCTGCTCTTGGCCACTCTCGCCACCGGCACCGCTGCTTTGTATGTTTTGACATATAAAGTCCTAAACTGCTTGGGTCCTGGATACCTGAAGGACCGCTTCCTTCCATATGAGCCTACCCAACAGTTAAGATCTAGCCAGGGGGCCCTTTTGAAAGAGCCATCCCTTGAGGTAAGGGGGAGCTTGTAGACAATGGGCCTTTTCAGCAGCAGCCCCCAGACTATGGAACACCATCCCGAGTCAGATTCTTCTGGCGCCGATGTTGGTGATGTTTCGGCGCCATGTCAAAACCTTCCTGTTTGAGAAGGTTTTTAATTTAATATCAACTGTGGGTCCTGATAACAATTTTTAGAGCACTGTATTTTTTTATTGTATTTTAATTGTTTTATCTTTTTACTGTATTTAAATTGTTGTAAGCCGGCCAGAGACCTTGGCGGTATCTCGGGACTGAAGGATGCCTACAAAAAAAGCGACAAGCTAGTTTACAAGAGCTGAACGGAGCTGTTTAGGACAGGACATTGAGGAGACTGTACATTCATGGGGTCACCATGAGTCTGAGGCAACTTGATAGCCTGTAACAACAACAAACCTGTCTGCATGCAAGTAAACGCCTACCTCCCAAGGTCTGTAAAATATAAATGTGATTGTCTAGCATGGGTCCTTGTAGATCAGTGATATTGTGAATGGTTTTAGCTAGAAACTGTGGGTGACAATCAGTGACTTTGCCTTTAGCGGACCACAATTTTTGTTCTTGAGTAACAGTTTGGCCATGCTGGTTAGGAGATTTTTGGAGTAGCAGACCATAAAAAGTAATTTTTGTCCATGATGTGTCTCTTATCAGGGGACCTCAAGGCCTTAGTTATTCTTTTAAAAAGAAAAATAAAGATGTAAATCTCAAGCCAGAAGTTATCTAACTGCTCTATTCTTTCATATGGAGACAAGTTCAAAGAATCTGCTCTTATGTCATCCCACTAGATCAACCTAAATGCGGTCTGAGGTGGAAAAATGATGCTGAAGAATGTATAGAAGAATGCTATAATAAAAAAGGGAGGAGGGGACTGTTAAAATTTAATAAAACCTCTGTCTAATCTATGACTTTTATTGCAGCTTGACAAACCGAAATATAATAGCAAAAACGTCTCTCTTTCACTGGTCTCATGCCAGAAAACTTGTAGTTAACGGCTAGGGCACAACACAGGTTTTTTTTTTAAATATAAAAACTAAAAGGTGAGCCGGATTAGATCAGAAACATAGAAGTAAAGAAAATAGATCGATGGAAACATTCTCAACTACTATACTTCCGGTCCCTAATCGACCATGTGGAGCACTCAATGCAGAGGGAAAGGGAAAGAACAGTACAAGGAACCATAGAGATAAAGATAATGTAGGCGGTATCTGAGCGACAAGGCCGTGCTTCCCCGCATATGGCGGCGTTCAAATAGAAACAGGAAGTAAAGGCTGCCGTGCATGGTGTCTCAACTCCGACGATTGGTTTCACTGAGGCAGAGGGTTGTGCGAATGTTGTTCGTGCAATAAGGAATCACGCGGAAGGAAGGCGAGTAGCTGAGAAGCAGTGAGGCTCAACCCATAGAGGACAGCGCTTCCTTTTTGGGGGGGGTGTCACCCCGTCACCCCCCAAAACGGGTACTTCCCATTTCATCCCCAACAATAGGTTCCCTCCGAGAGCTGTGCAAACATGTGGCTCTTGCGCTCCGTGTGAGTCAAGAAGTGGGTCGTGTCCCTGATAACTCAAGACACATTTATTAGTCTGAAAGGTGTGTCGCTCTGCGTTCGCTTTTTGTTGTTGCTGAAACAGACTGACACAGGTGCCCCTCTGCAAATTAAGTCCCTTGACCCCATCACGAGTAGGGCAGGGTGGGGACCTAAAGCTGACTTCCCCATTGCTAGTCCCAGCTAGGAAAAAACCCTTTTGCATCACCTGCTAAATGATCGTGAATTCCGTGGGATTAGCAATAAAATGCAGTCATTAAGATCTTGCGTATTTTTGCAGCTTCCCATCCCCACCCCCACCCCGCTTCTCTGACTCTCACCTTTTGTGACTCCATGCTTGGGGAAGGAGTGCTAACTCTCAAAAGATTCTGCAGAATATTATGCCATTTTTAAACCAAAAGAAAGAAAGAAAGAAAGAAAGAAAGAAAGAAAAAGAAAGAAAGAAAGAAAGAAAGAAAGAAAGAAAGAAAGAAAGAAAGAAAGAAAGAAAGAAAGAAAGAAAAAGGAAAGGAAAGGAAAGGAAAGGAAAAGAAAAGGTAGTGGTTTGGATTTAACTTAAAGAGTCAACAAGACTTCTCCCCCCCCCCCAAATCTTTGCTACTTAAAGTGTATTATATTCGGGTTTTATTGCAGCAAATTGTTTCTTTTTCTCTGCAGGGATATTACCTAACATTTATTTATTAATTTATGTAAAATATTTTTATCCTGCCTTTCTTCTTAAAAAGATTTCAAGGTGGCTTACCTTACTAAAAAGATGATAACATCCCCTTCCCACCAACAGAGTAAGTCCTACTCTTTTCTGCCTTCAGAGTCTTAGAAATAGGAGGAGGGAATAAGAAACTGACTGAATTAATTGTCACATTAAATATTTTCTTCAGGCTGTGAATAAAAAAGCTACTTTGTGGGAGGAGGATAGCATGCTGGAAATAAAATTAGTTTTGGTGACAGCTTTTAAAAGCACAACTGCCAGAACGCCCCTTACAGCGCAGCTACTGCCTATGCCGGCTGTAGGGTTCTATAGAGTTATAATTTTAAAAGTAACTTTTCTAAGATTTGTTTTGTGCTGTGAAGTCACCTTTTCCATACTGTTGCTCTTGAGATGTTGCCCTTTGACTCCAGGCATCCCTTCTGTGATGTCAAGTCAGAACTGGCTTATAGTGAACCTAATCAGGCTTTCAAGGTAAGTGGGATATTTGAGTGGTTTTATCAGCTCCACTCCCCCAGTCAGTTTCCATGGCTGTTCTCCAGAGTCATAGCCACTACACCACATTGGTAATCCTTCCCTAGCAAGTATTTTTTTCATGATGGCTGAGGATGATGAGATGTGTAGTCTAAAACATCTGGAGGGCAACAGAATGTAGAAGGCAAATGTAATAGTCACTATTTGTCTGATGATTTCATAACTTTAGAGTTGATGCTAATTCACATGCTGCTTTTGACAGAACATTGCTCAAAACAGTTCATAATAGAATGAGACAGAAGGACAGCACAATCAAAACTGAATGTAATTTCTCTTGCCAGTTGCTCTTGCTTTATTTATACAGCTTCCAGAGGCAGTCTGTTTCAGCTAACATAACAAAGAGATGTAAGAGCACCTTAAAATACATTTATGATGACATACACCTTTTTTCTTGTCAAGGGAAAACTATTAGCTTAGTACCCTCATACCCAAATGTGGAGGTCAAGAACAACTGTGTAAGTGTCCCCAACCCCACTAGGGTGCCTGTTGGGTGCCTGCTCTTCCACTGGTTGTGAGATGAGTCATGCCATATTATGGGAGCCCTGCTGGAGGGATACACTTTTCTGAATATATAGCACTATAAATATGTTAGCCTTTAAGATACTGCAAAACTCTTTATTCTGTCTTCATAAGGATAACTATGCTCTCTAAAATACTTTTCATAGTTTTTGAAAACACATTGACCTTATTAGTTTAAATAATTTGTCATAGCTTTTCTTTCTTTTACTAGTGTAGATAGCTTGGTTCGTGTTCATTTGTCTTCCAATAGTTCTTAAGGTTTTCATAAATTTATACCAGCCAGGTTATGATTTAAGCCTAATTATTAATCACTGTTGTTTCTTGTGTTGATCACATTAAACAGTTATTTGCTCTTTCCTCCATGTGTGCCACAAGATGTCAGGTTTAGAGTTGCTCTACTTTTGCCCCCTGCCTGTAACAGCTAAAAATTCAGATGAGGGCACGTCATTGCATTTCAGGTTTTCATGATCTTTCATGCTTTAAATTTGAGGCATTTCACCAGACATCCCACCCATTAAAGGCAGAGGAGCTCTATGAGAAAAAAAATGTTGGTAGCCCCATCAGGTTATATACCCCATTTTGCATGGTAAAATATATAGTGGTGCCTCGCAAGACGATGTTAATTCGTTCCGCCAAAAATCGCTGTGTTGCAAAAACATCGTCTTGTGAAATGCGGTTCCCCATTGGAATGCATTGAAATCTATTTAATGTGTTCCAATGGGGGGAAAATCGTTGTTTTGTGAAAATTGCCCATAGGAAAACCGTTTTGCGAAGGGGGGTCCCAGCTGTCAATATTGCTGTCTTGTGAAAAACTGTCCCTAAAAACCATTTTGCAAAGTGCGGATGCAGCTATCAAAATTGTCGTCTTGCAAAAAACCCGTCTTGCGAAGCATGGACCAAAACATTGTCTAGCGAAAATCGCCCATAGGGAAAACCGTTTTGCGAAGCGCTATAGCGATCACAAAAAACCATCGTCTTGCGAATTAACCATTTTGCAAGGTAATCGTCTAGCGAGGCACCACTGTATATCAGTTCATATTTATCTTTCCAGCAGTTTGCTAACTTCATTGTTTCTTTATTTTGTATTGTATCAAGTTGTAGTCTGTATTGCCAGTAAGCTACAAATTGGCAAAAGAAACCCTAGAACACTTGTTTACTCACAAATCCACCAACCCTTCCACCCAAACTGGCAAGACCTGTGCTTGTTTCTTCTTCAAAAGGTTTGTCTTCAGAAAATCAGCCAATGAAGGTTTGTGTAGTATTAGGAAACATTAGGACTTTTTAACAGTGCAGATCAAAATACAGTACTATTAGATGCACAGGGGTAGGCACTGATCTAAAACTTGGCAACTATTGGAATATTCCCTGTACCACAGGAATTTGGGAATGGCTGTAATTCAGTGACAGAGCAGTGCTTTGCATGAAGAGGGTCCATGAAGAGAATCTTAGCATATTCAGATGAAAGGATTTAACATCAACCAGAACGGACAAAACTTGAAAGATGAATGGTCTTAATAAAAACAAATGTTTGTTGCTGTTACGGGCTGTCAACTCACTTTCAATTTACAGACACTCTATGAACTGATGACTTCCAGAAGGTCTTCTGTTAAGAGCCCTGCTTCTGTTGTGCAAACTAAAGGGCATAGCTTCCTTTACTGAGTCAATCAATCTCATCCTTAGTCTTCCTGCATTCCTAGCTTTATTGTCTTTTTCACTGAATCTTATCTTCTCATGACAGTCTCAGTTTAGTCATTTCAGATTTGAGGGAAAGTTCAGGCGTGATCTAGACCCCATGTCTTTGTCATCCTGGTGCTCCGTAGGATCTGTAAAGCTCTCCGTCATCAGCACATTTAAAACGAGTTGAGGAAAAATTGAACATTTGTTACACATGTACCCGAGTTATACATGTAAAAAATAATAATTCAGAAAAGGGGAGGGAGAATGTATGCAGAATAGGGGAAATAATTTAACAATCAGCAATAATATTGTTTGGCCATAAGATGGCGGTCTTAGTGCTCTTTTATACATCAATCTGTAATGGAACACTTAATCCCTTTTATTTTCAGAAATTGTTCCCTCTAAATGCCAAATGCTATTGTGTGTGGATTTTTCTACCTACCTCCAGTTTTGACATTTTCTGCAAATATGGTCTGATTGGACTCTGGGAAGTAGTTTCCCAAGTGCAAGGCATCCATGATTTTCAAAGATTGCCGACGGCTGCTACAAGTATGTGGTGGGGACATCATCAGAAAAGACTTAAAGCAGAAGAGTCAAAGCAGCTGTTCACTTTGGAGGTGCTGTCACAGGTTGATTTCTGGAAAACCTTTGGATCCAGAGATGAGGGCTTTTCTGGAGGAGAACACTGAAGTCGTCAACAGTGGGAACCTGACACCAGAAATAAGGCTACGACTCCTGACTCCTCACTGCAGATTTTGGCATGACAAAACCACCCTGTGGCCATATGGAGACCCTTACTGGGCAATCTACTGGCCAGGAGGCCAAGGGCTAGCAAGGTATCGTTTCCAAAGAGGCTTTCCCATTTACTTGTTGTAGCAAAAGCAGCTGACTCAGAAGTTATTTTAAACACTAATTGATTAATTACAGCAAGCTTAGGTTACAAGAAGTATCTTAAACTTCAAGGTGACACAAGAGTGTTGTTTTCATCCTAGTGTAGAACAACATATGTACTAGAAACTTTGCATGCTGTTTTTTAAAAATGTGCCTTAAAATCAATTTTGACTTGTGAACCGCTTCAGGATTTCTAGATACTGAAGTGGTTTACCAGTCTCTGGGGCACTTTGGGACTGTGCAGCTTGCCCAAGGATACATAGGCCGGGCTTTTCCCATGGGAGGCACAGTGGGGAATTGAACTCCCAACCTCTACCTCTGCAGCCAAGTATCTACTTACTGAGCTATTCAACCAGTTATTGTAGAATCTGTTTAATGGGAAACATATTTCTCCCCCTTTCTAGAGACAATGTGATGTTTCTTAACCTAAACCTTTAACAACTTTTTAACAGGTCTATGGGATGGGGGGGAGGCAGCTGTATCTATTGAAGCTGTACTTGCCATTGCAGTTTGTAAAGTTACAAAGATTTGTCCGACAAAAAAGGGGGTCAGGTGTGTGTGTGAACTATTCATAGCTTGAGTCCTGCAGAGCATGCACCAAGAGCTTTAACTCCCTAATGAGTAGATACAAATCAACCAATGACTATCATCTTTCTGAAGCATCTGGAATGATGGGAAAGGGCTTTAGGAGGAAGTGCAAGAGACAAAAGCCATGAGCCCTTGGCTTTAAGACCATGTGCAGATCAAAGCTTGGAAAAATTGGTTGGGGTTTGCTGGAAGTTGTAATCCAAAAATACAACTTCTCCTATCTCTGAGCTATGTACAGGATTGGTTCGAGAAGCACTGCAATAGACTGATATAATAGATTTTGTTGTGAATCTTTCCCCTTTTCTCATTTTTCAAAATAGGTACCTTCTTGATAACCCAAAGGTGGTCCACAGGAAGAGCATTCTAGACCTTGGCAGCGGCTGTGGAGCAACCGCCATTGCAGCCATGATGAGTGGTGCATCACAGGTTGTGGCCAATGACATCGATCCAGGTAGGAGTTTCCCTTCCAGGGCAATAAAATTTCAGTCCATGGGGTGGGAGAGAGGTGCTGTGACACAGCAGCATGTTTCAGTTGAGCATACATTGTAGGCATCAGTACCAGCTGACAATGCATTATGTGGGATCCATACAAAAAGCTGTCAATCGGGAAGGTAAGCTCTGTTCTGGTAGTGGGGGGGGGCTTTCCAGATGTTGTTGGACTGTCATTCCCATGGTTCCTCCCCATTGGCTAGGGTTGGTGGAGACAACAGACAACAATGTCTGGAATGCCGTACATTCCCCAGCACTGACACAGTATATGCTCTTGAGAATGACAGTGGTAGATTCCCACAGGATGATGAATATCAGAAGAATGCTGGAAAAATGACTTCCATATAGCAGTTTCCAGCTCATTCCTGAGATGCACATGAAGACTCAAAAGTTCAGGCCTTTGTATACATGCAATGGTTTTTGAATATCACCAATATAGAGTAAAACCATGCAGAAGATTTTCAAAGACGTAGCCATGTTATATCTATCTCAGTGTGACTTTTTTTAAAAGGCCTGCAGCACCTTTAAGATTGAGATAAGTATTTTAGTTCTTTATTTAGTAGAGGAATGTGCTCAGTACAAACGGATCAGGGCCACTGCCTACTGTCTCATCAAACTCATGAGCACTTTGATAACACCGATCCTTACGTCTCCATTTGTGTCAGAAGCAATCCAGTGGGACTTCTGTAGTGGAAGGAACAGCCAACAGGGTGCTGCCTCAGGCCCAGAGGATGTCCTCGCATTCTTCGGGGAGGCTTGCCTTCCATCCAAGCTGCAGTAGCCTCTCCCTACTCAAAATACTGAAGAAGAGACTTTAACAATTTCCTTATCATTAGCCTACCCCCCTCCCGGCCCAACAATCTGTTTAAGCAAGCAAATGGCAGTCCAGCAGCCACAATTGTACATTCTTCGGGGAGGCTTACCTTCCATCTAAGCTGCAGTAGCCTCTCCCTACTCAAAACACTGAAGAAGAGACTTTAACAATTTCCTTATCATTAGCCTACCCCCCTCCCGGCCCAACAATCTGTTTAAGCAAGCAAATGGCAGTCCAGCAGCCACAATTGTATCTAGCCCCTATGGTGGTTGTTTAGTCATTTAGTCGTGTCCGTCTGGCCCCTATGGTTGTCGTTTAGTCATGTCCAACCCCATGGACCAGAGCACGCCAGGCCCTCCTGTCTTCCACTGCCTCCCGGAGCTGGGCCAAATTCATGTTGGTCGCTTCGATGACACTGTCCAACCATCTCATCCTCTGTCGTCCCCTTCTCCTCTTGCCCTCGCACTTATCAGGGTCCTTTCCAGGGAGTCTTCTCTTCTCATGAGATGGCCAAAGTACCCCTATGGTAGCTTAGACCAATTTTGACAGATGTCTTAATTTTCCTGGGGATCAGCAACTGTAGAATGTTGCTTGATCTGCAATATATTTCCAAGTAAGGAATCTGGACACTCATCTTTTGTTTCACCTCAGTTGCAGGAGCTGCCATGATGCTGAACTGTGAACTGAACAATGTGAACCCTTTTCCGGTTATTACAGAGAACCTGATTGGCACAAAGCTGGAAGGGTGGGATCTTATTGTCCTTGGAGACATGTTTTACAGTGAAGACCTTGCAGACAGCCTTCACCAGTGGCTGAAAAAGCACACCATAATCTCTGGGACCAAAGTACTGATTGGGGACCCAGGCAGGCCTCACTTTGTGACCCACCAAATTCAGAGGGAGTTACACAAAGTCAGCGAGTATTGCCTACCCGAAGCAACAAGGCAGGAAAACTATGGCTCAGCAACTACTGCTGTCTGGCACTACCAACCTTGACTTTCAAGTGGACACCATGCTCAGAATCTCCTAAAACATCTGTTCTGGCAGTGCAACTTCCATCGGACAATGAATAACACTTCATAGTGCTTCACTGTCTCATTGCAGACTTGCAGGTGCTGAAGGCACAGCTCTGTAAAGTGGGAAACAATAACAACAATTACAATTTTTGAAAAACACTTTGCTTCCTATTGCATTCCTTAAGTCCATGGAAATAAAATGTGTTTCCCACATTGTAACTGGAGTTTTATTATTTAAAGCAAACAAAAAACATTGTTTGTGAAGTGATTGTTTTCAGCTTAACAGATCTTCAAATTTTCAACTGATCTCTTTGCATCATTTAGCCTTGCTCTCAATAGTGAAACAGAATCCCCAGGTGCAGAAACTGCACCTTCTGAATACTAGTTCCTGGGGGAGCAATTCATGTCAATGCAACTAAGAACACCAGTACCATTGATGCTCTGCTTGTGGTCCTGAACTTTGTGGAACTTCTAAAATTGTCTGGACAGCTGTGCAGTTCTGCTGGCAGAAGTGAAATACATTGCAGGGGCACATGGCTGCTAATGAACAAGTTCTATCTTGGATTCCTCATTCCACACCAGTCAAGTGGTTTGACACACAACAAGCAATCCAAATGGGGAACTGTTAATTAGTGGCAGTTTGCCATTGTGAGTTATGCCGTTGCTGGCACAAATACAAAACAGGATTGTGACTTTTGTATCAATCTAGAAATGTATTAAGATAATTATTAGACCACCTTGGGGGGGGGCATGAAATTATGTGCTGCTTTTAAATTCTGCAAGAAATGTTCATCAAACAAGATAGTAAAGAAAGCAAAAATGACTGGGTGGGAGAAATGGCTGATATTCAAGGCATAGGATCCGCATTTCATTAGTTTTAAGTTGGAAATAGATGGAGACTGTAGTACATCAAATCTATAGTTGAAACCACTCATCATTCTAAAATTAGATCTCAGGTAAAACTTGTTAAGTGATTCCATGATCGGACACGAACTCACTCCAGAAATATAATCATTTTCAAAATTTCAGAATTATTCATACTGGCTTGCCAACAGTCATAGAGAAAGATGGTGCCTGAAATCTTGTTGCACAGCAGTGGAGATGATGGAAGGCAAATGTTGTAACATTCACCTCTTTTCTGCTAGTAATTAAAGAGTCACCACTGCTGTTCTTGGGAGTGCATGCTCAAGAGTCCTAGCAGAGACAAACTGCTGGGTGGAAGGGAGAGAATTTTATGCCATTTACCTTCTGCTTATGTAAAAAAAAAAGGATTTCAACCAGTGAGTGTGAAATTACAACAAAAGATCAAGGTACTGTACTAAGTTGCACTTATGTTTTAGATGAGCCAACTATATAATAAACCACAGATCAAATCTTCGTAATTTTCACCCAGTTAATTGGGTCAAAATTATTTTCTGGGGGTAGGAACAGATTGAAGTATGTATGGAAGCACGAGAAGCATCTCCACTACTCTCAGAAGTTCCTCTACCTTCATCATACCCAGTACTTTCTTCTGAAAGCAATATCTTCTGTTTCTATTAAGAACAGCAGCTAAACTAAATACAAATATTGTTTAATTAAAGTAGTTCTAGCCTGCAACAAATTCCAGGGTGGGATACATTCAATAAAATCACATTAAAAGAATTAAGCATTTCAAGTATTACAGAAGTGTTTGAGACACTTTAAAATAACTTAGCAATTCAAAGAAAACAAAATCCAATCTCTCAAAGTGCCTGGAGCTCAAGGTGGACAACCAGGTTTTAACTTGGCAGTGTCAGTTAATCCGCCAAGAGGAGGACACTCTACAACTCAAACGTTAAAACCAAGAACCCTCCTTTCACACATAGTAATTTTGCAGCCAGTTTACAGCTTCTCACACACAAGCTCCTTGTCCTTTATGTGTAGGGCAGGATCTAATAGTGAGCATCTACTTCTCACTGCAACCTCCAACACAGGCTCCAGAACACTGGGAGAAACACCCCAGAGCCTGTTTTCATGCAGTAACAGTGGGGAGAAAGTTCCAACTCACTTAATGGGATTATATTGATTTATTGTTTGAACCAGTATAGGTATATATTTCCAAAGAAAGGTTCCATTCAGATCTCTTTTTAATTGCAATAAAAATTAGCTAAACAACACTACTCTGCAAATAATCAGCACACTTCATTTATGTCCTTTGAAGTATTTATTTTTTAATGTTTGTTTAGTTTTCCTGGTAAGAGTTGTGGAACATGTGTATTAATGCTCAAGTACTGGTAAAATTAAAGGGAGAAAAGGGAGAGGAAAAATATTGTGATACATTAATGACTAACACATTTATTTCAGTGTGCATACCTAACTAAAGATTAAGGTTTTTTTATAGCTCAGAATTCTGAAATATGAGTATAACATAGTTGTTTCTCTTGACATAATCTGACTTCTACACCAGAAGCAACTCATTGCATTTCAGTGACATCTAAATCTACCTGACATATAGTTTAGCTCTCCTGGCCTGCAGTCACAAGTAATTAACAATTTGATAATCCCATTTTTGTGTCAACAATGCATTGTCACTTTTGTTTGTATCCATACCTGGCCATCATGTATAACTACGCTCTTTGCTCTCATGTCATTTGAGAATGTTGATCCACAAATACTGAGATGGAAAATAAATGTCAGTCTTTACAGTAATGCAATATTTTGACTTTGATTTCTTTTTTCTCCCCTTTAATTTTGCTAACATGCTAAGACAGACTATCATGGCTATTTGTTTGCAAAATCTTCAAATATGTGCATATAAGGAAGGATCTAGGAAGAAATCTAAAATGTCCAGTCAACAACATTTGATAACAAGTCAAATAAAAAACAAAAACAAAAGGCAGACATGTTGTAGCCACAAGAAAAATGCCAAAGGCCAGTTGTAATATACTTTCTTTACCAATAATGACTGCATGCTTTAAAGTCAATTCCAAGTTATGGCAACCCTTCTCAGGGTCTCCTGTTTACACTCTGAAGGGTTTTACTAATCCCCTTCTTCTGGGTCAATCTGAGGCCACGCAGCTTGCCCAGGGCCACATAGGCTGACTATTCCCCTTGGGATGCACTGGGCAATCAAACGCTTGACCTCAGTTCCATAGCAAGGTATGCCACCTACCCACCACAGCATCCTTGAGATCATTTTGTTCTTCTTCAGCCTGAATGTGATTATCTTGGCCGGTAGGTGTCAGTAAAGAACTGCACATTAGTGCTTCACCTGGAAACAGCAGCAAGGCTTCAATATTTGCTTCCAAAGAAATGAAAAGACACACACACCTGCCATTTGTATATAAGCCATGCTTTTATTTAAACACGAGAAGCTGCATGAAGAACATCTAGTTCCAGTTATAAATGCTACCTCAATCGATCAAAGGTTCCCTCCAGTGAGAGCTGAGCAAGTGGCACTCCAAGATGCCAATGCAGCACTTGTTCCCCCATCTTGTTGGTTAGCTCACTCCACTTCTTGCACTTTGGCCCTCTGTAAGAGCAGAATGTAATATCTGGAATGTCATGAAGCTTGCACATGTGTTACAGCCTTCATGTGTTGCTCTTCTGCAAACACTCAAAAAGTTCCTTTCATAACATCAAAAGAGAGAACATTGAACGGAACCACTTTTGGACAACATGAACATCAACTGTGCCCATTGGTGAAAACCACTGAACTCAAAACATTCTGAGATAACAAGACTTTCTAGAAGTGGGTCTTTCCTTAAAAAAAAACAGGCGGTGGTGAGAACTTTAAATAAGGAGACAAGCCTAAAAATCAATAAACAGTCCATGAAACTTGCTTAAATTTCTTCGGTCCAACTAACTGTTCCAGGGCTACTCGGGAGCGATCTGCAAAGCAAAGAGGAGAAATTCTCAATCTGTTTTAGAAGAAGAATATGTTTTTCATGTGGCAACAAATAATGATGGGAGAGAAATAATGTCATCTGTCTTTTTCAAAATATCATTGTATAAATAAGCTACAGCTAGATAAGATGCTATTGCACTTTGTGAGATGAACACTTCACTGGCTTTCATGGAATGTCTTACTCTACTAGGCTGTTCTGCAAGACAATCTTTAAGGAAACTTGTTTCGACAAGATTTTGATGCATAGTGTATGGTGCAATGTCGGTGTACTCTCTTCCAAAATCCAGACAGGCAAATATTTTTATTAGGACCAGCCAAAGTTTCACAATATTCTCAAGGTCATTATTTTCTTAACAAGGTGTCAATAGTTTTTCTGTTCCTTTCTATTTTCATTTCGATTGTTTTAATGTTTTGATTTTATTTTTGCTGCTCTGTTCTTAATTCTTTCAAAATTACTTTGTGACATCGATTCTATACAGTAGTTGAATTTAAACCTCCCTAAAATACTTTGAGCAAAGAGGAGGACTTACAAATTTAAGCATGGAATAAATAATTGGTCTGCTATTGTTAATTGGTTATCTGTTGCACATTTGTTGTGTTTAAAATATTTCTATAGAGCTTTTAAAGCTTCCATGAGAAAACAACAGCATCATAAAACTCCTTAACAGTAAAATCCATATAATAAAATCAACAAGACTTATCTGTAAAACCACCCCACTCAGACAGGAAGAAAATATAAAACATAACTGCAACTAGAACCCAAGAACAATCCAATAAAGCAGGAATGGGGAACATGTAGCCTTCCAAAAGGTGGACTGCAACTCCCAGCAGTCTTGACCATTTGTTATGCTGGCCAGAGCTGATGGGAGTTGCAGTCCAACAACAAATGGATAAACTATGTGCTGCTAATCATAATCATCTTAGAACTGTAGAGCTGGAAGGGACGCTATGGATCACCAAGTCCAGCCCCTGACAAGGATGCACAGTCGGGAATCGAACTCTCAGCCTCTGGCTCCACACGCACAGTCAGGAATCAAACTCTCAGCCTCTGGCTCCACAGCCAGAGACCTAAATGGCTGAACTATCCAGAAGTCCTATACTGCTCCATAGCACTTCAAGCACTCTCCTGGTGTTTCCAATTTAGTTATGCAGGCTACACATTGGCCCCAACATACAGCATGTAAACAATAAATTGCCTAAATTCTAGGATCACAACCTTGATTGGAATCCTAGCTTAAGCACTTTTTGTCCTTTCTGACAGATCAGTTCTGACGGCCTTATGTAGTGTAGAATTTATTTCTTGATATCTCTCGTCTAATTGGCATTTTAAAATTTCTCTTCCAAACTAGCTGGAATTGTCTGATCCGCGCAACGTCCTGAATCACCTGTTATCAGTGGACACCCATGGAACAGAAGAATGTATATCCTTGGACAGTAAGTGAGGACTGCTTCCACAGCAACATCTGTCAAATTTACACACCGCTCCATATGGATCTCCTAGCAGGGAAAATGAATGCAGGCATCAGCAATTGTTACAGACAGAAACAATGAAAACAGATCTCAGTAGGATCAATTAATAGTGCATTCCATACACGTTTACTCAGAAGTAGTCCCTTTTGAGTTCAAAGGTATTTATTCCTAGACAAATGAATATAAGGTTGCAGTCTAAACAATGTTATAACAATTTGTTAGTAATAACAATTTGAAAAACACATGTTGAAAAGTTACCTTTAAATTATTTGAACACTCTCCACTAACAAGTGCTATTACACCATCATCAGTAACCTGAATGGGGAAAAAGCAGATTCCTTGTTGGTACACTGAATAAAAATACAATAAAAATGTTAAAGTGGTTTAATGAATGAATAAATTAAAGTTGACAATAAAGCACCATAACCTAAAATAGTGATACAATCAATATTTTCTTGCAGTTAAATGTCTGAAAAAGTAATACTAGTACACAAACCATGATTAAGATTCCTATACATACTTATTTGGTGTCGGATCCACAGAATTTAAGGGACTTGCAGCAAACATGCAAGACAATCAGGTTTAATACATCATTTTGGATCCTGCTTTTCAAAATCCTCTACAGCTTGCTGAAATGTCAGGAATTCCAACCCATCCCTTGTCAAACAGGCTGCCTAAACTGTTGTAATTTCATCAAAAGCAATTAAAAATAGCAATTTATTTAACCTTTAATGAAACACCCTACAGAGCTGGTCACCTGTGTTTAGCTTTCCTAGCAAAGTAAGCTACATTGGTCTGGATTAGAAGGACAAGCTCCATCATCCTTTTGTTGTTGTTGTTGTTTATCTGTGTCCAACTCTTTGTGACCCCATGGAGCAGAGCACGCCAAGCCCTCCTGTCTTCCACTGCCTCCCGGAGTTGGCTCAAATTCATGTTGGTAGCTTTGGTGACACTGTCCAACCATCTCATCCTTTGTTGTCCCCTTCTCCTCTTGCGCTCACACTTTCCCAACATCAGGGTCTTTTCCAGGGAGTCTTCTCTTCTCATGAGATGGCCAAAGTACTGGAGCCTCAGCTTCAGGATCTGTCCTTCCAGTGAGCAATCAGGGTTGATTTCCTTCAAAATTGATAAGTTTGTTCTCCTTGCAGTCCAGGGGACTCTCAAGAGCCTCCTCCAGCACCACAATTCAAAAGCATCAATTCTTCGGCGGTCAGTTTTCTTTATGGTCCAGCTCTCGCTTCCATACATCACTACAGGAAAAACCATAGCTTTGACTATGCGGACTTTTGTTGGCAAGGTGATTTCTCTGCTTTTTAAGATGCTGTCTAGGTTTGTCATCGCTTTCCTCCCAAGAAGCTGGCATCTTTTAATTTTGTAGCTGCTGTCACCATCTGCAGTGATCATGGAGCCCAAGAAGTAAAATCTGTCACTACCTCCATATCTTCCCCTTCTATTTGTCAGAAGGTGATGGGACCAGTGGCCATGATCCTAGTTTTTTTGATGTTGAGCTTCAGACCATTCTTGCGTTCTCTTCTTTCATTAAGAGGTTCTTTAATTCCTCCTCACTTTCTGCCATCAGAGTGGTATCATCTGCATATCAAAGGTTGTTGATATTTCTTCTGGCAATCTTAAATCCAGTTTGGGATTCCTCCAGTCCAGCCTTTTGCATGATGTATTCTGCATATAAATTAAATAAGCCCGGGGGACAATATACAGCCTTGTCGTACTCCTTTCCCAATTTTGAACCAATCAGTTGTTCCATATCCAGTTCTAACTATTGCTTCCTGTCCCATGTATAGATTTCTCTGGAGATATATAAGGTGGCGAGGCACTCCCATTTCTTTAAGAACTTGCCATAGTTTCTTGTGGTCGACACAGTTAAAGGCTTTTGCAGAAGTAGATCTTTTTCTGGAACTCTCTGGCTTTCTCCATAATCCAGCGCATGTTAGCAATTTGGTCTCGAGTTCCTCTGCCCCTTCGAAATCCAGCTTGTACTTCTGGGAGTTCTCGGCCCATATACTGCTGAAGCCTGGCTTGGAAGATTTTGAGCACAACCCTGCTAGCGTGGGAAATGAGTGCAACTGTACAGTAGTTGGAGCATTCTTTGGCACTGCCCCTCTTTGGGATTAGGATGTAGACTCATCTTTTCCAATCCTCTGGCCACTGTTGAGTTTTCCAAACTTGCTGGCATATTGAGTGTAGCACCTTAACAGAGTCATCTTTTAAGATTTTAAATAGTTCAACTGGAATGCCATCACCTCCACTGGCCTTGTTGTTAGTCATGCTCTCTAAGGCCCACTTGACTTCACTCTCCAGGATGTCTGGCTCAAGGTCAGCAACCACACTATCTGGGTTGTCCAGCAATTTATCTAATGTTTAATGAAACACCCTACAGAGCTGGTCATCTGTGTTTAGCTTTGCTAGCAAAGTAAGTTACATTGGCCTGTATTAGAAGGACAAGTTCCACCATTCTAAATGTATTTAAAAGTTTTACCATCCTTAGTTTGTTCTTCGAAAGGGTATAATCAACCTAATTGTTCTCTTGTTCTCCCTCCCAAACATTCTAGGCTTCTTATCTTGCAAAATATTATCTAGCAGCAACAAGCCTTTGGGCTTATAGTCAAGATGAAACATTGCCATCAGCAGAATTAAGGGGTAAAATGGAGTCCACCACATTAGGATGCAGGCAGCAAAATCACACTGAAAGCTCCTTGGGATTAAAGGCTGGACTAGAATCTTTTTCCTTGGTGACATAGTGCAGTAGTTCCCACATGGGTGGGCTACAACTCACAAAATTCCTAGCTGACACAGGGAAGTGTAATATGTTCAGGAACTGTAGTGCAACAATATTAGTGAATCCAAGATTGGGTATCATTTCTGTAGACATCCTTTAGTCTCGAGAGACTATGGTAAGGGAGCCACTGAACTAATATACATCTACCATCTCATTTTTTGTATATGTGCAGAAACACTTTGGATAATAATAGTGGCATCAGGCCCATTTCTTTGGTAGTTATATATATTCAGCATGAATGAAGCTGTCAAAGTCACACTGTTTTCCATACATCTAGAGGTAAAATTCCAGTTCTTGTTTTTCAGGCAAAGAAACCTCCTCTCCTGTACGAATGCAAATCAGACAAAAGGGAGAACCAAAAGACAAGCAATAACCATGTTGAAGCTCACTAACAGAGAGACCACTGTTATGGAAATAACCACATAGAATAAAATAACTCTCACAAATTCTGAGGTAAAATGCAAGAAAAAGATTTTATTACGCAACTGCAGTAGCGGGGAGAACTACAGGTAGGCAACGTGTGGTCACCGCCCCAAAGACTCCAAAGGATTTATTAGCAGCATAATTTTTTATAGTTGGTACTCTCACTGTCTTACCAGCCAATTTGACCAATAAGTTCACATTCTGGCTACATCACAAACATTGCCCACCCCCTTTTCCTGTTCTCCAATGTTTTATCTCATGCAGTTATGATTAATGGTACGGATCATATAGCAACAATCAGCAACTTTATATGTTTCAAAAGCGCCTCAGGACAGCATGACCTGGAAACTCCCTTCCCTCTTTCCTGTTCGGCACAGTTGACTGTGATTACAGCCCTCTTGCTCAACAGATGTTTTACGTCCTATAGGCCTTGTGGTTATTGCGTCCAACAATTTTGTCAGTGTCAGCATAATTCTAAAATATCTCAAGTAACAGCAGAAACATCTCAAGCTTTTCCCCTTCTTTTGAGTGGAATTTGCCCACACAGAAAACCCCTAAAATTCTCCATTACACCACTTATAATTCTGTGACAATTTTCAAGCTGGACAATCAGCTACAAAAGCTGCTGAATCCACAACATCTACCACTGCGCAGATACCCAGTGCAGGAGACAGAAGAACATGTTATGGAAAATTAAAGCCACTTATGGACAAATTTCACTTAGAAAACCAGATAGCCTGGAAAGCTTAGCAGGTGCTGGCTGCTGTCGTATGCTGTCACCATTTTTGAGATATTTCTTTTTTCATGGTGGGATAATGAATTCTATGAACAGACAGATGGAGTGGCCATAGGGATCCCCCTCATCCCGGTTATAGCAAACTTCTACATGGAGCATTTCGAAAACCTGCCTTGGCTTCGGCACCCCTCACACCCACAGTCTGGTTCCGATATGCGGATGACACCTTTGCAATTTGGAGCCACGGTGAAGAAAAATTGGAAGAATTTCTCAACCATCTCAACAGCATCCACCCAAATACAGTGATGCCCCGCATAACGAGCGATTCATTTAACGACGAATCCGCATAGTGATGAGGATTTTGCGATCACAAAAGCGATCGCATAACGATGTTTTCAATGGGAAAACATTGCTTTGCGATGATCAGTAAGCGTTTCGCTTACCGATTATCGCATAACGATGTTTTAAAAACAGCTGATCGACGGTTCCAAAATGGCCGCCGGAAAAAATGGCCTCCCGCAGTGTTTTCACACCCTTTCCTCGCATACCGGGCAGCAAAAATGGCAGCCGCATGGAGGATTTCCACAGAACGGTGAGTTTTTTTGCCAATATGAACGCACTGAAGGGTTTTCTATGCATTCCTATGGGCTTTTTTGCCCCGCATAGCGACAAATCCGTATAGTGACGATTTTTTTGGAACGAATTATCGTCGCTATGCGGGGCACCACTGTATACAATTCACCATGGAAAAAGAAATAGAGGGCCAACTCCCATTCTTAAATGTCATGGTCCTACGCAAAACTGGCCTCCAACTGGGACACAAGGTCTACAGAAAACCCACCCACACAGACCGGTACCTACACAAAAACTCCAACCACCACCCACAGCAAAAAAGAAGCGTAATCAAAACACTGGTACACCATACAAATTGGAACTGTGAAGCTCAGTTTCTCAGCACTGACCTCAACCATCTTGTTATGGGAAAGTAAAGCCCACAATTGAACAAATTTTACTTATAATCAATGAAGCTTTAAGATTAACAAAAAGCTAGGCAGAAATTGCTCACAGTTGCTGTTGCAAAAAGTATTTCAAGATACTGCTTGACTAATGCCAAAAGAGGAACTGAACTTAGGCACAGAAGAGGAAGAAGGATGTTTGTTACAGCGGATAAGTTCTTGGGCAAGGGTGAAAATGAGAAGTTGAGTGGGGATTTCCAGTATCAGTTGACCTTGTATAACCTAATGTACTAAGACATTTATTTATTTATTTATTTATT